TTGTACTTTAGATGAAGGTTTACAGAACAAATAGTTTCTCATTAAACAGTCAGTACACATATTGTTTTATGACATTGGTTAACAACCCCACAACGTGTCAACACTCTCGCTTCTCGACCTTGGAGGACCTTTTTTTTGGAGAAAATATACATAGCCAAAGTTACACCATTTTGAAAGTTTCTGCATGCACAATTCAGTGACATCGATTACATTGTTCCAGTTGTGCTGGTATTCTCACTATCCTTTTCAAAATTATTCCATCACCATTGTCTTCAACTCACTGCCCCCAGGCTTCCCATCAGTCCTTTTGAGTTGCTGTTGTCAATTTGATCTCACATAGATAATTCTTTTTTTTTTTGTGTTTGTGTGTATGTGTGTTTGTGTGTGTGTGTGTACCTTAGTATAAATATATATTCTTGACTGACTGTTTTGTCTCCCAGGTGTTGGTTCATTTACAATTATTGATGGAAATCAGGTCAGCGGAGAAGATGCTGGAAACAAGTATGTTCTAGTATTTTCAAATATGGACATGTTAGGGAAGGCAGTGTACTGTCACAGGAGAGTGAGGCCTGAATCCTAGCTTCATCTCCTCCAGCAGAATGACTGGACTCTCAGGTGGAAATAATCCCTGTGTTTAGAATTATAGGGAGGATGAAGTAAGTTAATGTTAATACAGGTAAAGTGCTAGCCTGGTGTCTAGCAAATAGGCCATTAATAAAAAGCACCCATCGTTACTATCTTTATTGTTCTTATTAATGCAAAGGAATAGAGGAGTAGTAATTATTCCTTTATTTGTGAAATCTGGACGCTGTTTTTTTGTTTTTTTTTTTGATTCTTAGGTGTTATTATGTGAGTAACAAGATTTCTGGATTATGAGAATAATAAAAGCAATGCCTTTTCTTTGTAAGCTTAGTCTAGATATCCCTCTCTCTACACTACACTGTCCCGATCTATGAAAGTGCTGTTTTAAAGATGGCCTGGATATAATTCTTTAAAGATTGTCATATTAAGACTCTGAGAGCACCCCCAAATTTGAATTTCAAGCTCACCTTCTCAGGGACTTGGAGTCTGGGATCTCTTATTTTTGTCAGTAAACAACAACAGCAGGTAAATACAAGGAAAAACAGGATCTGGTTCATATTGAGCTTTGATGTCTTTTCTGGGTATGTGTATAAGTTTCCCTTATCCACAACACAGCCCTTTTATTGCTATCTACAAAGAAAAAGTCCTATTATCTTTGCTTGCTTAATCTCAGTACATGGGTGGCTTGCTTGATTGGTTAAAGCAGTATATGATAAGGGTAAGGTTTCTCTTTCTTATGGAGCCAGTGAGCGTGTGTCATAAGTGGCACCTTCACTCTGATCAGCACCCTCAAATCTGGGCCTTGGGACTTGACAAGCATATGTGTGGGAGAAAGCCTGAATGAATCTGTTATAGTTACCTACAAAAGCAAACGGTTCAGGGTTCAATACAGCAACGTGTGGTCTGTGGAACAGTGGTTCTAGGTAATATTAATTGCTGTTAAATGGGCAAATGGATTCCGTGGTTGGATGAGTTTGGAAAACGGGTGAAATGAGGTTAAACATTTATTTACCATAAGACTTTAATATTATGTATATTATGTATATTTTGAATTTCCAAGGAGAACATACAGCATGTGGTATTTCCTGAACTTTTTTTTTAGCCAAGGGACTCTTTTCTTTTAGAGCATCTTATGAAATTTCTTATTCTGTGGTATACACGTTAGGAAGTATTGATTTATTAGTCCATCTTTGTTTACAAGTTTCATCCAGTTTTCTTCCTCCAAGAAGGTTTTTACAATCTTTAATCAAAATATAATTTGTTTTATGCTATGAATGAAATATACCTGGCATTACAAGTAACCTTTCTTTTATAGTCAAATACATCTTTTAATTTTTTTTATTTTTTTATTTTGCCCATTGTAGTTTTTTCCTTCAAAGAAGCAGTATCGGAAAGGTAAAACATTCAGTTTGTTATAGACTATAGTTGTGTGTGAGCATCTAATGATGCAAGTGTGTTGTGGTTGCTTGAGAAGCTTTGACTATAAAAAAGCTTATTTCTCTGAGAAAAAAGTTGAATCAGCTAGTTTTTCTGATCTTATAAATCTTTATATAAATATTTGTTAGTTTGAAAACTTAGAAGTACTGTCTATATTTTTATACTGTGTCCTGCATCTTTTATTAAAGCTAAATCTTGAATAAGGACAACGTTCAGAGCATGGAGTATTCTGCTTAACACAGTTTTTAAGAGATAACTGGAATACCCTTTATTTTTATAGTTCATATTAAGAAAATTAAAAAATTAGCTTAGTACAGTGTTCTGAATGGGAATGACTGTTTCTCTGATTTTTGGCCTCTTTTGTATAGGATTATAGATGTGGGAGGTTAGTTTGCTTCTGAATTTGTTTCAGGACATCCTCACCTGCTACCCAGGGTTTTCTGGCCCTTTGCCTAGTCAGAAAAGTAGAGTGCAAATAGTATAGTCATTTAAGGACTCTGGGTAATAAAGTTTTAGCTGTTTTAAGTAATATCCTGATTGAATCCTAGTTTAAGCAATACAGAAAGCAGAATTGTCATACATATGCATGAAATTCCAATAGTTTTACAGTGTATTTTGACTGACCTGTAACCACATTGTAACCAGTTTTTCTCTAATTCAAGTCAAATGCTTTGTTTTTAAAAAGAACCGAGCTCAAGCTGCCATGGAATTCTTACAAGAATTAAATAATGATGTTTCTGGAAGTTTTGTGGAAGAGGTACATACTTATAAACATTATTGTTTCTATCCTGAGATGTAATTATTTTAATAATTCAAAGCCCTAGGAATTTTGAATCTTTGTATCATTTATGTTTATTTGAGATTTAAATTACTTTGTGGTCTAGTGTATTGCCTCATTTGTTGTAAATTAATTTAACTCTTTCTGCAATGTTTAATATGAATGTGAAAATTTTGGATTTTTTTCCCCTGTCCTGTTTAGAGTCCAGAAAACCTTCTAGACAATGATCCTTCATTTTTCTGTAGGTTTACCATTGTGGTTGCAACTCAAGTCCCTGAAAGGTAAATTTTTATGTTAATGTGTTTTTATTTTAATCTCTTATTAGAGTTACATGATTTTCTTTTCTCTGCATGATCTAAGATTTAGTTTAAAAATTTTTTAAACTATACCTATATACCCATCGCCGTCGAGTCGACTCTGACTCGTAGCAACCCTATAGGACAGAGTAGAACTGCCCCATAGGGTTTCCAAGGAGCAGCTGGTGGATTCGAACTGCCGACCTTTTGGTTAGCAGCCATAGCTCTTTTTTTTTTTTTAAATTTTATTGTTGTACTTGAAGTGAAAGTTTACAATTCAGGTTAGTCTCTCATATAAAAATTTATGCATACATTGTTATGGGACCCTAATTGCTCTCCCTGTACTGTGACAGCACACTCCTTCTTTCCACCCCTGATTTCGCGTGTCCCTTCAACCAGCTCCTAACCCTCTCTGCCTTGTCATCTTGTCTCTGGACAGGAGCTGCCCATTTAGTCTCATGTATCTACTTGAGCTAAGAAGCACACTCTTCACAAGCATCATTTTATGTCCCATAGTCCAGTCTAAAGCAGCCATAGCTCTTAACCACTGCACCACTAGGCCCCATAGAAACCTTTACTTGGAAGCACTGATAAACCTTCCTCTAAATGTGCGTCTTGGGCATCGTTTCTATCACTAAGGTTATGTTTTCTAAACTACTGTTCCTTCTTTGTTTCCAACTTTCGCATTCCAATCACCAGTAATTATCAATCCATCTTGATTGCATGTTTGATCAATTTCAGACTGCAGAAGTTGGTAAAAATCTTCAATTTCTTCATCTTTGGCATTAATGGTTAGTGTGTAAATTTGAATAATAGTTGTATTAACTGGTTTTCCTTGTAGGCGTATGGATATTATCCTATCACTGACAGTGTTGTACTTCAGGATAGACGTTAAAGCGTTCTTTTTGATGATGAATGTGACGCCATTCCTCTTGAATTTGCCATTACTGGCAAAGTAAACCATACGATTGTTCAATTCAAAATGGCCAGTAACAGTCCATTTCAGCTCACTAATGCCTAGGATATTGATCTTTATGTGTTCCATTTCATTTTTGACGACTTCCAATGTTCCTAGATTCATGTTTTGTATATTCCATGTTCTGATTATTAATGGATGTTTGCAGCTGTTCCCTCTCATTGAGTTGTGCTACATCAGCAAATGAAGGTCCCGGAAGCTTTACTCCATCCACGTCATTAAGGCCGACTCTATTTTGAGGAGACAGCTCTGCCCCAGTCGTATTTTGAGTACCTTCCGACCTGAGGGGCTCGTCTTACAGCACTGTATCAGATAATGTTCCACTGTTATTCATAAGATTTTCACTGGCCAGTCTTTTTCGGAAGTAGAATGCCAGGTCTTTCTTCCTAGTCTGTCTTAGTCTGGAAGCTCTGCTGAAACCTGTCCACCATGGGTGACCCTGCTGGTATTTGAAATACCAGTGGCATAGCTTCCAGCATCACCATAACATGCAAGCCACCATAGTACGACAAACTGACAGATGAGTGGTGGTAGACATTTGCAAGACCAACAACTTATTCATTGCAAATACCTTTTGTCAACAACATAAACGGCGACTATACACGTGGACCTTACTGGACAGAATACACAGAAATCAAATCAGCTATATTTGTGGAAAAAGACGATGGAGAAGCTGAATATCATCAGTCATAACGAGACCAGGGGCTGACTGCGGAACAGACCATCAATTGCTTATATGCAAGTTCCAGTTGAAGCTGAAGAAAATTAAAACAAGTCCGTGAGAGCTGAAGTATGACCTTGAGTATACTCCACCTGAATTTAGAGACCATCTCAAGAATAGATTAGACGCACTGAACACTAATGACTGAAGACCAGACGAGTTGTGGGATGACATCAGGGATATCATACATGAAGAAAGCAAAAGATCATCAAAAAGATAGGAAAGAAAGGAAAGAACATTTTTGGCATTTCTCAAGCTGAAAGAACCAAAGAAAAAATTCAAGCCTCGAGTTGCAATATTGAAGGATTCTATGGGCAAAAATTGAACAACGCAGGAAGCATCAAAGGCAGATGGAAGGAATACACAGTCACCGTACCAAAAAGAATTGGTCGACATTCAGCCGTTTTAGGAGGTAGCATATGATCAAGAACCGACGGTATTGAAGGAAGAAGTCCAAGTTATGCTGAAGGCATTGGTGAAAAACAAGGGTCCAGGAATCAACTGAATACCAATTGAGATGTTTCAACAAACGGATGCAGCGCTGGAAGCGCTCACTTGTTTATGCCAAAAAATTTGGAAGACAGTTACCTGGCCAACTGACTGGAAGAGACGCATATCTGTGCCCATTCCAAAGAAAGGTGATTCAATGGAATGCAGAAATTATTGAACAATATCATTAACATCACATGTAAATAAAATTTTGCTGAAGATCGTTCAAAAACAGTTGAAGTAGTACATCAACAGGGAACTGCCAGAACTTCAAGCTGGATTCAGAAGAGGACGTGAAGGTGGAGAGGGAAAAACACTAAATAGATAATAGATAAATGGTAACTTTGGTGAAGGGTAAGAGTACACAATACTGCGGAAGCCAGTACGACTTGTCCAAGTGTAAGGTCATGGAAGCACTAAAGTCACATCCAGACTCTCTGAGGGACCAAATTGCTGGGCTGAGGGCTAGGGACCATGGTCTCGGGGAACATCTGTCTCAACTGGCATATAACATAGTTTATAAAGAAAACGTTCTATGTTCTACTTTGCTGAGTAGCGTCTAGGGTTTTAAAAGCTTGTGACCAGCCATTTAAGATACTCCACTGATCTCAGCCTGTCTGGAGCAAGGGAGAATGAAGAAAACCGAAGATACAAGGGAAAGATTAGTCCAAAGAACTAATGGACCATAACTACCACAGCCTCCACCAGACTGAGTCCAGCACAGCTAGATGGTGCCTGGCTACCACCACCGACTGCTCTGACAAAGATCACAATAGAGGGTCCCAGACAGAGCTGGAGAAAAATGTAGAACAAAACACTAACTCACACACAAAAGAAGACCAGACTTACTGGTCTGACAGAGATTGGAGAAACCCCGAGAGTATGGCCCTTGGACACACTTTTAGCTCAGCAATGAAGTCACTCCTGAGGTTCACCCCTCAGCCAAAGATTTGACAGCCCCATAAAACAGAATGAGACTAAATGGTCACATCAACCCAGGAGCAAGGATGAGGGGGCAGGAGGGGACAGGAAAGCTGGTAATGGGCTACTCAAGGTCGAGAAGGGGAGAGTGTTGACGTGTTGTGTGGTTGGCAACCAGTGTCACAAAACAGTATGTGTATTAATTGTTTAATGAGAAACTAGCTTGCTCTGTAAACCTTCATCTAAAGTACAATAAAAAAAATTAACACGTAGATTTTAGCACATATAAATTTTTCAGCAAGTACTCACCTTTATGAACTCAGCTGACACATAGGAATGTTAAAAACACAATTATTGTAACAAAATCTTAATACTAACAACTACTTTTTGAAAAAAAGGTTGAGAAAGTTAAGGGGGCAGGGAAACTAGATTCCTGGAAATGGAACAACTGGAACGGAAACAATGAGCATGTTCATGCATTGTGAAGAATGTCACCAATGTCACTGAACAATTTGTGTAAAAATTGTTCAACGGGAACCTATCCTACTGTGTAAACTTTCACCGAAAATAGTAAAACGTTATTTTAAAAAAAAGAAGAGGACATGGAACAAGGGATATCGTTGCTGATCTCAGATGGATCTTGCGTGAAAACAGAATTCCAAAAAGATGTTCACCTGTGTTTTACTGATTATGCAAAGGCATTCAACTGTGTGGATTATAACAAATTATGGATAACGTTCCAAAGAATGGGAGTTCCAGAACACTTAATTGTGTTCATGCAGACCTGTACATAGACCAAGAAGCAGTCATTCAGACAGAACAAGGGGATACTGTGTGGTTTAAAATCAGGAAATGTGTGTGTCAGGGTTGTATCCTTTCACCATACTTAGTCTGTATGCTGAGCAAATAATATGAGAAGCTGGGCTATATGAAAAAGTACGCAGCATCAGGATTGAAGGAAGACTCATTAACAACCGGCAATATGCAGATGACACAACCTTGCTTGCTGAAAGCAAAGAGGACTTGAAGCACTTACTGATGAAGATCAAAGAATACAGCCTTCTGTATGGATTACACCTCAACATAAAACAAAAATCCTCACAACTGTACCAATAAGCAACATCATGATAAACAGAGAAAATATTGAAGTTGTCAAGGATTTCATTTTACTTGAATCCACAGTCAACACCCACGGAAGCAGCAGTCAAGAAATCAAAGGACGTACTGCATTGGGTAAATCTGCTGGAAAAGACCTCTTTAAAGTGTTAAAAAGCAAAGATGTCACTTTAAGGACTAGCGTGTGCCTGACCCAAGCTATGGTATTTTCAATTGCCATATATGCATGTGAAAGCTGGACAATGAATAAGGAAGATCGAAGAATTGATGCCTTTGAATTATGGTGTTGGTGAAGAATATTGAGTATACATAACATGAACTGCCAGAAGAACAAACAAATCTGTCTCGGAAGAAGTACAGCCAGAATGCTGCTTAGAAGTGAGGATGGTGAGACTTTGTCTCACGTACTTTGGACGTGTTATAAGGAGGGACCAGTCCCTGGAGAAGAAGGACATCATGCTTAGTAAATTAGAGGGTCAGCAAAACAGAGGAAGACCCTCAGCAAGATGGATTGATACAGTGGCTCCAACAATGGGCTCATCATAGCATCGATTTGTGAGGATGGTGCAGGATTAGGAGTGTTTTGTTCTGTTGTACATAATGTCGTTATGAGTCGAAACCGACTTGACAGCACCTAACAACATAAATCTTCTAGCACTAAAAAATTCTCTTTTTTGAATATATTTTATATATAATTTCTTTCACTGTCCCTGTTTTATATTATTTCATCTTCACTATATATAATTTCTTTTTTTTTTGTATATTTAGAGCAGTTAAACTGAACACTGGTTATTTTTTAGTGATGAAAACTAGTTAGACTTGATTATAGGAAGCATTTTGGGGTGTGTACAAAGGTTTTTATAGGAGTCCCTGGTTGGTGCAAACAGTTAACACACTTGGCTGCTAACTGAAAGGTTGAAGGCTTAAATCCACCCAGTTGCACCTTGGAAGAAACCTGGCGATCTACTTTTGAAAAGTCAGCCACTGAAAACCCTATGGAGCACAGTTCTACTCTAACATACATAGGGTCCCCTTGAGTTGGAATTGATTTGATAGCAACTGATTTTTTACAAGGGTTTTGTAAATGTTTTTGTCTTCATTATGGAAATGATTAGAAAGTGAGTTTCAACATAAAAAAGGTGGGGCTTTCAAAATACTTGGGTCCAAAATACATACTTTCTTTAAGACTGTACCCTTGTGGAATTGCTTGTTTTTCAGTACATCCTTGACCTGCTTATGTAAATGTAGTAGATGTATCTTTGCCTTTATTATTTGAAGAAGAAAGTTGTTTTATTTTAAGGCATTTTCATGTTTGGCATATATCCATTTGCTCATGGTCTTACTTATTTTGCTTTTCTTTACAGTACATTACTACGTTTAGCAGATGTCCTCTGGAATTCTCAAATCCCTCTTTTGGTCTGTAGGACATATGGACTGGTTGGTTATATGAGGATCATTATAAAAGAACATCCAGGTAAAATCGTTAAGCATAATGAGTTTGCTATTGGTTGCTCTAGCTACAATTTTAGAAAATTGACCATTTAGAAAGTCGATTAAGTTTATAAAGTAAATTTGTAGTAGCACAGCTTTGGTTACAGGGTTCAAAGTGGCAGTGAAACTCAAAAGCACACATAGGCTTTAATCTAGTATTTCGTTTACTTAGCATTATAGAAGGATACAAAGCAGGTGATACAACAGGTACAGCTTCTTCATCTTATTAGGATGCCCCACAACTACACAAGTTCCTAGCTTCTTTTGCCCTTCACTTCACACACGGCATGTATAACTGCCACAAGCGAGAGCCAAGGTATGTGAGTCACTTTGACACGTAGAATTCACACCATCTTTTCCCTGTCAATCTTTTATTCCGTTTTCATGCAGACTCCAGGCCTGTATGCCATGTCACAGCTCCCCCAGGTCAGATGCATTTACCACACTACAACCTAGGAAACAGTGTTGTGGGAGACCAGAGTCACTTATGGGCAAGGCTGCATCAACTCAGGGCTGGTATTAGCCCTTGTAAGATTTGAATCTTAAATCACCATAAAATTTTCTTTCAGTACTCATAGAATACTCTTTATTTACTCTAGAAAGTGTTTTCATTGTGTACCAAGTACGGGCCAGGCACTTTGCTAGTGCCGTGATAGCCATTGGCATTGGTAGCATCACTGAAAAGGAGTATCTGCATGGGCAGTTAGGGAGTAGTTTGGAGGATAAGCTTCCAGTGGGGGTGGTGAGCCATTTAAGAGTTATAAGTGGGAGAGTGACAGGATGAAAGTTTTATTTTAAATGAGTCACTCTGGAGGCTGAATGTGAATGAGTTTGAAGGGGCAAAGTTTGGAGGTAGGGGTTGCTGTTAGAAGATTTCTGGTGGTCTAGGTGAGAGAGGGAGCCCTGGTGGTGTAGTGGTTAAGAGCTTGGCTCCTAACCAAGAGGTCGGCAGTTTGAATCCACCAGCCACTCCTTGGAAACCCTATGTTGCAGTTCTGCTCTGTCCTGTAGGGTAGCTGTGAGTTAGAATCAACTTGACGGCAACGGATTTGGTTTGGTTAGGTGAGAGAGTGAGACCCCTGAATTAGGATAAATTTCAGGGATACGGATGAAGGGGTAGATAATAATGAAGGTTAACGTTGCTAGTGGTGTGCCTGATTTATGTAGATTATTTCATTTAATTTTTATAAAAACCCTTATAAGGGAGGTACTTATTATATCTGCTGAGGATGCTGAGGCACAGAGAGATTAAGTTACTTGCGTAAGGTCACACAGCTAGCAAGTGACAGAACTGGGCCTACCTCTGATCACTGAAATTAATATACTTTCCTGTACTCTGCCATGGAGAGAGTATATAAGGTGAGATCAGGACATGGTGAGTGACCAGTGTTGAGGCCAAGGAAGCAAGAAGTCAGCGATGACTATTAGGTTTCTAGGGAGGTGTCTAGGTAGATGGTGTTACTGTATTGAAGACCACAGGAGGAAGGGTATGTTGTTAGGTGCTAGGCATACATACATTTTACTGATGTTTATCTTTTCCAGTTATTATAAGGAGATTCTGCTCTAAATGAATCTTGGTTTTACTTTTATTAAAACTATAGTCCACTTAAGATTTGTGTATTTTACTATATAGTAAGATCAGGAACAGATTACCCAATAAGCAAGGTAAGCACGTGCTCAGGGCATCAACAGAACAGGGGCACCAGTTGTCCAAATGAAAGACCCATAGATGCCAAGCAGACAGGACACAAGGAAAAGCAAGCTCACAACATTGATTCAAGAAAGACTCGATTCATTATCCTTATATGTATGGAAGTAGATATTGTTTGGTAGCTTAATTGTGACAAAATCATTGAAGAATTTCTAAGGGGGGGGAAAATGTTTTTAATTATAACACATTAGAGATGAAAGATCTATCTAAAAATAAAATATAGTAAATTGTTGTAATATTTGTTTTGTGATCATTAAATTTTCTTTTATGACATCTTTTCATTTGTTCATTTATAATTATAGCATTTATTATGAAACAAGCATCAAAATTGAAGTATGAGCTGTTTAGAGCAATACTGGTAAACGTCAGTTTTTTGTTGTGGGAGATCAACAGACTTTTACATCGATTGTTGAAACAACTAAGTTCACTGACTCATTTTCTTTGTTGTAAATATATGGAATATTCTTTTTGTAGAAAAGGTGGTATATAGTAAAAATCTTAGTACTCTGCATCCACTAAAAATACTATAATCCAGTTCATCACATTCCACTAAAATGGCATAGGCCACTTTTACACTCATTTACTGATATTATAGTTGCATTTAAAAGGAAGTTACATCATCGATAGCTAAGACACACAATCACACATACATACATGTATGTGTCTAACTCACATACTCCGTTTGAATGTGTGAGTAAGCAGAGGGGGGGACCACACAGATGATCAGTGTTTAGGGCCCTCACATGCCTTAATCCAGCCCTGCGTAAAATTGTACCTCAGTAATGCACTGAAAAAAATCTGTAGACCCTATGCCCACTTAAAAATTATAGAAGGAAATTTCCTAAGTTCCTATAATAAAGTGTACTGCCAGCAGTATCACTGAAGAACTAAGTTTACCTTCTGGAATTTTCTGTTTCTCAGTAATAGAATCTCACCCAGATAATGCATTAGAGGATCTTCGACTGGATAAGCCATTTCCTGAGTTGAAAGAACATTTTCAGTCTTATGATTTGGATCATATGGAAAAAAAGGTTGGTAGTCACCCATTTATAGACTTAAAACTTTTTTTGAACCTAATGTTTTTTAATTACACAAGAGTGAGAAAATACTATAAGCCTCCATATACCTGTCATCCAGATTACAAGTAATAGCATTTTACCTTATTTGTTTCACATAAATCTATTTTCCCCCAAAATTTTAAAACTTTTTTATTGAAGAAAAATACATTAAGTGAACATATCTGTGTAACAGTCACTTAGGTCAAGAAGTTAACACAAACATTAACAGATCCCAGAAGCCCTCTTCATGCCCTTGCCTAAACAAATAGATGTACTTTTAAAAATGGTTTGAATTTGGGATGGGTCTTTGTTGAAATTTATTTCTCTTGAAATTTACTTCTAGTGTTTTAGAACTACCAAGGCAACTTTGCATATTTCATTATAGAAATGATATTTATAACAGACTATATAACTTAAGGAGTATGTATATATTTTCCACATATATATTAATTAAGATGCAGGTGTTTATTTGGTTCATCAGAAGATGCAGAAGATTCTCTTTTCCTAGTCTGGTAAAGGTATCTGATATCAAGAGATTTGAGCCACATATTTGGGTGACACTCTTTGAGACTGTTTTCTCATTGGTAAAATGGGGACAGTCATAGTACAAACCTGATGTATCAGGATTACATTGGATACTACATGTAAAATAATTTATAAAGCAGTTTGTTTGTAGTAACCTCGTTTATTCTATTCATTATTCTGTATATAGAAGGAGATGGTTAGTAAATAATGTTGAATTTGTTGAAAATGAGATGTTGTAGTAAAGAATTAATGTTAACTAGTACGGACGTTTTCTTTGGTTATTTTTAGGATCATAGCCACACCCCATGGATTGTGATCATAGCTAAATATTTAGCACAGTGGTATCATGAGGTATGTCTTTTTTTTTTTTAACAGACATTCCATAGGTGATTGTATTTTCCCTTTATTATAAAGGGTTTCATTGGATGGGGGCAGGAGAGTAATTTTTTTCTTTATGGAGTTAGAGGGCAGGAAAAAACACATCGCTGTCGAGTCGACTTCGACTCATAGCGACCCTGTAGGACAGAGTAGAACTGCCTCATGGGTTTCCCAGGAGTGGCTGGTGGATTCGAACTGCCGACCTTTTGGTTAACAGTCAAATGCTTAACCACTGTGCCACCAGGGCTTCTGTAGGGCAGAAGGGTGCTTTTTAAATTAAAATCTAATAGTTCTTCTTTTGATACTGATTTTTTTTTTAATTAACAAAATAAAATTTGGATAAATGTTATTCTGAAACTGGCAGTGGGGAACAAATGAGGAGAAATGGCCTACAGTTTGTGTTTTCTATCAGGTGAGCTTTTTGATATCACTGAGGTATATATTTAACGATGAAAATCTCATGTGGGTGGGGAAAGTTGGACTTTCAGTTTCTGTATTTTGAGTTTTTATATCTAGATTTTTAAATTTTTCAACCAATTTAGACAAGTGGACGAATACCTAAAACATATAAAGAAAAAGAGGACTTCAGGGATTTGATTCGGCAAGGTAAGAGTATGGATGTGATTAAATTTTGTATAAAGTTTGAAAAGCCAGTTGCTTGAAACAAATGTTTATTGGATTTCTTTGTTAATACCTTTGTCAAATGATGCAATCATGAGCTTTTATTTTTCTTTTCCTTTTGGGGGGGTTAAGGAGCCATTTCTTGTATAGTTTTAAGAATGGCTAACGATAAGCCATATTTCTTCATCAGATTCAGTATTCTGATTGTTCCTTCAGAATCTGTCCCATAATACTGGGGGAAGAGAAAGGGTGAGAAGAAAAGGGCTGTTGTTTGCTAACTGATTTCTATTTTAATAGGAATTCTAAAGAATGAAAACGGTGCTCCAGAAGATGAAGAGAATTTTGAAGAAGCTATTAAAAATGTGAACACAGCGCTAAATACAACTCAGGTATTAGAGTTGCTGAGGTGTTTCATGTAAGAAAGGTGTTTTCTTATATGTGAAATATTTGATTATAAAGATTTAACTTAATATTTTTTAATTGTGTAGTTGGTTAGAAGTAAATTTTTATAATACAGATTGAATCTTATTTTAGTACGATTCTGTTGTCCTTGTTAAAATGGATGCCAGTGCTTCAGTGTATAATAGTGATTCAATGATTTATATAAATTAATTATTTGAAGTACCTGATCTGTGACTTGTAACAGTTTGGAAGTATAGTGTTTTTAATTATAACACATTAGAGATGAAAGAGCTATCTAAAAATAAAATAAGGTGATTTTTTTTTTTTTTTTTTTTTTTTGTAA